TGAGCATGACATAAATGGTATGGAATAAGGGGTGGAGAATGCGCTGGGTTTGGCTGGGGTAGAGTTAATTTCCTTCATAGTAGCTGGTATGGGGCCATGTTTTGGATTTGTGCTGGAAACAGTGTTGATAACACAGAGACATTTTCATTATTGCTGAGCAGTGCTTGCACAGAGTCCCAGTAGAAGGAGGAGACACAGCTGGGACAGCTGACCCCAACTGACCAAAGGGATATTCCACACCATATGATGTCATGCTCAGCATATAAAGATGGGGGCAGAAGAAGGAAGGGGGGGTGTCACGAATGCATTCGTGACAGGGGGACATTCGGAGTGATGGTGTTTGTCTTCCCAAGTAACCATGACGTGTGATGAAGCCCTGGTTTCCTGGAGATGGCTGAACACCTGCCTGCCGATGGGAAGTAGTGAATGAATTCCTTGTTTTGATTTGCTTGCGTGCACGGCTTTTGATTTACCTATTAAACTATCTTTATCTCAACCCATGAGTCTTACCTTTTTTCCAATTCTCTCCCCCGTCCCACTGGGGGGGAGTGAATGAATGGCTGTGTGATTAAACCACGACACTGACATGTTGCTAAAGATGTAATAAAGATTAATCTTACTTTAGACACAGCAAAACTTTCTGATAACTCAGCTAGTTATAATGCAGATCCTGAAACTGGCACAAGTGTTGAGTCTATGGGCCTCAGGAATAACAAGATTACCAGGCTCCCCTTCCCGCACATCGCTTACTGTCCAGCTTGTTTTCCTCCCACTTGGGAGGTGATGAGGGAGACTTGCTCTTCATGTGAGAGAGCAGCTGGAAGGCACAGAGCTCTGCCTGGGGATGGACAATGAGCCAGTCAGGAGCTCACAGGTCAGGAATAGAGGGCTGACCAACATGGGTGACATTCTAGCGGGTGTCTGCTGTAGACAGCCTTATCAAGAAGTACATGAAGCCTTCTTCAGACAACTGGAAGAAGCCTGCCATTCCTGATACAAGTGATTGAGGAGTCAAGGAGAGGAGGCGCTCTCTGCTGGACCTCATACTTACAAACAAGAAAGAACTGGTCAGGGATGTGAAGGCTGCGGGGGCAAACTTAGCTTCAGTAACCATGAGATAGTGGAGTTTGGGATCCTAAGAGGAAGGAAAAAAACCAAAAAGCAGGATCATAACCCTGGACCTCAGGAGAGCAATCTTTGGCCTGTTCAGAGATCTGCTTGGAAGAATGTCATGGCATATGGTCCTGAAGAGAAGAGAGGTCCAGGCAAGCTTGTTGATTTTTCAAGTATCACCTCTTCCAAGATAAACAGGAAAACAAGCAGAGGTTGACCAAAGAGCTCCTGACAAAACTCAGACATAAAAAGGAAAGACACAGGAGGCAGAAGCAGGGATGAGTGATCTGGGAGAAACAGAGAGATGCTGTGTGAGTATGCAGCTAGGGGGTTAGGAGAGCCAAAGCCCACCCAAAGCTAAATCTGGTGAAGCACAGGAAGGGCAACAAAGGAGGACTTCTGTGGGTGCATCTGAATGAGAGTGGGGACCTGGTCATAAAGGACAAGGAGACCCTTCTGGTCGAGGGACTGAATGCCTTCTTCACCTCGATCTTTACTGGTAAGATCGACCTTCCAAAACAAATTTCAAATTAAATTAAAGACATCAAAACCAGGTATTACTGTATCTACAGTACATATGTAGATATTTAAGAGAACATTTCTGCTACATTAGAATATAAGGTACTGATAGGAATATTCTCAGCTGGAGCAGAGACAGCGGTCAATAGGAACTTCTCCTGCATACCTCGTTTCTACAGTTTATTGAAAGGAGAAGGTAGACAAGCCGCCAAGTGCACAAGTAACAGTCAAATTCATAGCTTCTACTACACAGGAGCAGTAACTTGTGCTAACTCTACATGAACATGCTTTATTTTTCAGTATCAGTTATATACTCTTTGAATAGAACGTAACAGAAGAAATATGTGATTACAGGTTAATATACTGATGTCATAGACTAGATCAGCAAAGTCGTCACCACAGTCCATTGTGTTTTCATGACCCTCAAACAACTGTTCTCCTAGCACAAAACCTTTATAGTAGAGAGTAGTGACACACAATTCAGCTAGTTAGTTACTCGTACAACAAGAACAAAAATACCGATCAACTTTCTAATGCATATGCACAGCCAGAATGACTTTTACCTGTTCCTGTCACAGGACTGAGTAAGCTACACTAATAGGAGGACAGAAAGTCATGTCTGATAGAATCTGTTACATGTCTCCTTTACAAAAACAACTCTTTAAACAGCTCAATTTGTATGGTACCTATACACCCATATGCAGAGAGTATATATATATAAAAAGTTAGTTACTTTTTACCATGTGGAAAGTACATGATTAAAGCTCACAGGCTGCATTGCTCAAACTCTGCTCAAGAGCCATTCTGCCTTTCCTTGGTTTTAATTCCCCTTGAGAATTTTGTCATGCAAGTGGGGAGAATTTTGTTCCGATTTTGACCCACGGTTTGTGCCTTACCAGTATTATTCCTTGCACTTACGAAGCGTGCTAAGTTTGTAAGTCACCATCGTTCCCTCATCTTTACTTTTAATTTTTCATTAAAGGAGCGAAGCATTACTGTACTCTGTTTATTAAGCAGAATTTATTTTTTCAAGAAATCAAACAAAGTTTCAAATGGCAAAACAGCCAGGGAAGCAGAGCTCCAAAGTGAAAGAATTTTCTATCGTCCTCCAATAGCTGCTAAGGATCCCCCTCAATATGTGCAGAATAATAGTATAGAATGGGCTACATCAAGTTACTGTACTCATTCTCATTACAGAGATCTTACAGTTTTCACTACAAAATACACCACAGGTTGTTGGTTATTACAGTAAGACAGTTACTACCATAGTTGACAGCCCACTCTCTACAGCATGTAACTAGGTCTGCTACAGCTTAGGTACTATTTTAAGTTACAGGTGATAAGGTATAGACATGCCATGAAACCCTAACTCTGTATTTCGTCATTTCTGCTCAGATTCTTTATCTCAGTCTTGAAGGTATGTAATACCTTAAGCATAGTAACAAATGCTCTTAGGTTTGTGTACTTACACTGATACTGAAGAAATATTTTAATAATAATGAATTATCTTCTTCATAAGAACTGAAACATGAAACTTTTATTGCAACACTGACCTCCAAAAATAATTCAAAGATTACAGTTCCACGTGTTTTCAAGTGCCAACACAGCAATGGCTGTCAGTTAAGAAACTTAAAACTCTAACAACTCTATTCCAATGGAGAGAAGCCTTTACCACTACTAAATAGATGCTCTTAACTCTGTTACAACATTCCCAGTTGCTTCATTGGTAAATCTCAATCTTAGAGGTTTGTTGCCCCTTATCCGGCGAAATTTAGCAGGTAGAGCAACAGCCTCAAAGGAAGGAAATACAGAATAATTCAAGAAAATTCAGTGATATAAGCAAACTGTTAGGTAAGAGGTATCAAAACGGTTCAGTGCTCCTGCAATACTGGAAGAAGGGCCTCAACTGGCCATACAGCAACTGTAACAGGTTTCCAACTAAAACAGCAATTGGTCTTTTTCGACATACAGATCAGTATGCTTGAGTTTATTCGTAAGTGTGTTGACCTCTTATTTTGGTTGGATTTTGGGTTTTGTTTGGTTAGTCTGGGTGGGATTTTTTTCCTATTATCCAAAATAACAAAATACCTAATTTTAAGTTTCAGTTCCTACAAGGAATGAAATAAATATCTTCTCACAGTTAGTTGCTATGGAAATAGTATTTCACAACTGGACCTCTGCTGGAACAAAATGTAGAAACAACTCAAAAAAATAAGCTCTCATTTCTGAGAATCAATTGCTTAAAGACACATGGACTACGGATGAGGCTCAGCCAACTTTTTAGGGACTAGTCCAAGACTTGTACGTCCATAAAATGGAACATCTAACTTCCCAGTGATATGTCTGACAGTCTCCCAGTTTCTATGTACCCTCAAATAATTATGACTGGTAACTTCCCAGCCTGACTAAACTTGTGAAATTGTATCTGCAGATTAATGTATCAGTAAGAATTCGATATTCTTTTAAAAAAAAAAAAACCAACACACACTCCTGTTCAGTCTGTAAGTTTGAAAGACATGCATTTTTTAAACAGAAAACTGATGCAAAGGAAAAAACAATATCTATGTTGTACTTGTTCCTGATGTATATAGTCTGTGCCTCTAAAAGAACATTAATAGATGGATAAATTTGCAACCACGTTTCTTCCAAGACATAGAAAGTCTGCTTTTTTGCCTTGAATGACCACTCAAATTCTTCATGGCTGCAATTGACAGATTATGAGCAAACCTTCAAGACTGCTACACCTTTAATTCCCCTAGTACAGCCCTTCATACCTCCAATGCTCCCCCGCTGACATAATTTTTTGGGGAGAGACTGTTACACACTGAAATTCTATCTTCCACATGCAGCAAAGGGAAGGAGGTTATTAAAGAAGAAATAAAGCACTTGTTTAAAGTCACATTGGCCACTAAAGAATTCTTCTAATCCAGTGATTTTGACTCATCGATCTTGAATTTGCACTCCATCCATTAAGAAACAGAATTAGCATGGCATGTATTTTTAAAGAAAGGAAGCAACTGTCAGGTCCCTTCAAAATAAGTCTTCCTGTAGATAACAGACAAGATTTTCATCATCTTTAAATCCAGTGAATAGTTTTATCATTCTAACAAGAACTTGAACTGTCAAGGGTTGCACATAAGATGAAAAACTGCAGTCTGCAGAAACTGCTGGTTATCTTAGGGAAACAAAAAAAAAAATCAGAATTTACAGCTGTCCTGGATGTAAAAAAAGATTTTCAATTACTGAAAGACTTGGATAGATCAGATCCATTTTTCAGCAATCGAGTAATTCCTCTTCCTCGCATGGTACTTGTTCCATAAAGGGAAGTCTTCACACCACATGGAGAATCACCTGTTAAATTAAATACAGCTTGTAAATCAAATCAGCCTTTAAAGCTTGCATAAATTAATGGAATTGCTCTTCATATGCTATGGAGCTGAACCTATTCAACAGTTCTAATACAAAAAGTCACGAGACAGGGGTTGTGTCCTCTACAAATACCAAGACCATAAGATCTCATGATTTATAATTGGAACAGTTTCGGAGTTTAATTCAGTGTGCATTTTATATGCAAGAAAATAAGCTGCAAACTCAGAACTCTTACAGTTATTTGTCTTGCAAACTTGATTCTGTTCCTCTGAAGATTAGCCATGAACAACCCAGATGAACTGAGCTCATGTGCCTTCTATTAAAAAAATTTCATCTTCAAAAAGATGACTTTAAATGAGCAGTCTTTATAAACTGAGTTATAACAGAATACTTGCAACAAGTACCAGCTGAGTCTGCAAATATAATGCCTTAAGAACAAAGAGAGTATTTTAAAGATTGCCCTGCCTCAAAGCACCTAAGCATATGAGAACAGACTTCATGCAGCAGAAAAATAAGGGGGTATAAATCAGAGAGCAACATTTATAAGAAAAAGTCTATTTTGAGAGACCTTTTTGACTGTAAGGTTGTGTCCAGTAACAAAAGGCCAGCTCTTTATGTTTACATCTTCAGAAATTCAGTGAAATCCATATGCATGAATAAGTGCAGCTCATGCAAAGTTGTTTAAGCTTTATACCACTGACATGCAACATCTAAGCCCAGAAATTTGAAAAAGCAGCAACTGAATTAAGTTTAAATACCTCTTTCCCCTTACAAATGTGAAAGTTTCAAACTCACAATTAGAAGGCACAGACTCCTGATCCTGACTTGGAGAAGCAAAATGTCTGTCACATCCAGAACCCTCAGCCTTCATTTTCTGTATGAAGAAATAAACATTCAAGATAATATATGTGTCTTCTAAAATGCAGTATACACAACTATCCATGAAACCTACAAACTGTGGTCAAAAGTCATAAGAAATGACCCAGCTAGTGATTACTTTCTTTCCTCAGTCTGCCTAATATGTGTCACAAAAGACAGCATCCAAAGAGAAAACAGCTAACCTGAAATTGGCAAGTTTGAGTTAACTAGAAATAAAACAGGATACCAGTTTAAAGAATCTGACCTGAAAACGTCCAGCATCCAGTATCACCATCTTGGTACTTGTGCTTTCACCATAATCAAAGTCTTGAAGAGGCAGGTGAGCTGCTGTCAGTGAGACTCCATACACATTAGCTAAAGATTTACTGATGCAATAACTTGACCGAGAAAAAAAGAAAACAAGAAAAGTTTGGCTAAGAGGGCTGTAATGCTTATGTACAGAAGCACAGCATTTTTAGTTCAACTGGCAAACAAAAGCAACCACAGACTGAGATGCACAGAGCAGATAACAGAGGGCAGAAGGACATTATTGCAGCAGCTAAATAGTTACCCTGCATCCTTCCAAGACCACCAGCCTATTCTACAACTACACATGAAATTAAAACAACTGCTTCCCCACACTATCAAATGCAGCCACTTGCAAGTGTGAAAAGCAACATTTTTTTTGCAAGGCATAGCAGTACATTCCAAGAGTTTTTTAAATGAAAGACTATTCACTATTACCTCTCTCAAAGTCCTACTACTACTGACTGAGATCTTAAATGGCGTTTCCTTGTTTCCCAACTATTTACTTTCCCTTTCCCCACTCCAAAATGATTACAAAACCTTATGCATCTACATTATATGCAAGGCAGTATAAAAAGTTCACAAAGTAGAGATATACTAGAAGATACTGAGAATTCCTCACCAAATACAGGTATACTAACCCTCTGAAGAAAAACAGTGAATTCTAATGTAATTAACACTTCTCTCAACTCTCCAATAGTAAGTGGAGTTAGTGAAAGGATGACTACAGAGTGATGGACATTACCATCACAGAAATTACATTACATCTAAGCACTAAGACTTACAGCATACTGCTAAGCCATACAAACAGCAGTGAAAGTTACAAAGAGAACAAAATCTTGGGGGTGGAGGGAATAAATAAAACTCAGGCTCTAGAACTACAGTGCTTCAGGCAGTCAGAGAAGCCAGAGGGAAAAATGTGCATCTATAACAAAATAAAAGATATAAAAAAAAAACCCTCAAAAAATATCAAAAAAAGATACTGGAGATAACTCCATAGCAATACTCACGCAATTTTCTTACAGGACGCCAAAGCACAGCAGAGTATATCATTCTCTTCATGCCACTTGCACCTACATGAAATGAAATTCAGCCTTATTTCAGAAGCATCTACATCGTTAATCAACATGAACAGTTGGTCTGGTCAGAAGGAACAGGAACAAATATTAAAGATGTTATCTTTTTGTCTCAGTGACCATATAGTACCTTTAAAATTTCACAGAGGGCCAGCGCGCAATAACTAAGCTCTAAGTGGTTTATGCAGCATTAAAAGGCATGCTTAACAGGCAACCTGCCTCATGCTGAGGTGCGGGGGAAGGGAGAAAAGAGAATCCTAAGAGACAAATGGAATGTAAAGGTAACAATCTGAAGTTTCCCATTAATGTGAAATAGTTCCTCTTAGCGCAAGTATCCCCGCTTTCCTCTCCAAATGTGTGTTTTAAAGCGCTTTTTTCCATTCTTGTTAAGGTCTCCCTCTAGTGCAAAGATACTCATGGAAATGGAAAACTGCCTGACTATTAAAAGTGACCCTGATTATCCCAAATGGATCTTTAAATCCATACTATAAGCAGACTTCCAAGAATAATCGTTTTTTTAAAAAACATCTACTACAATTTAAGATCAAATTATTGGTTCTTACTTAAAACAGTAGCAGAGGAAAAGTTAAAGTATATTTCTAAGTTAACTGTGTCATCACTAAATATTCCACTGCAACACCACAAGCTACATACCACTTCTTTGTACAAACATGGAAGAACCTGGAAGCAGGAAAAGCTTTACTATTCAAGACACACGGGGGGCAACACAAAAGTGAAAAATCCTACAAAGTACATAGGACTTCAGATGCGTAATAAAGAGCATTCATTCCAGAAGAAAAAAGATAGGATCTAGCTTAACACTTATGCTTGAGAACTTGATTTACTGGCAAACATACCTTGTCTTTCATCACAGTGGCAGCATGAGGCATTTGATGTATAGCAACAGCTAGGTCCCATACAAATTGCACTTCTAAGACAGTCTGAATTTTCTCACTTCTATGATTTCCAGTTAAATACCACAATATATTTTATTCCCATTTTTCACCCCCTCCTTTAAATTAGGCCTCAGACTCAGCATCAAAAAGCCATCTATCTTTACACTTCTTTTGGGAAAGTATTTTTATATTTCCAGTTGTACTCATGATGTGACAAGAAGCATTTCTGATGAGAAGGCTTGCAGAACATTCTAGCCTAGCAGCATACAAGCTGTATGTAGGGCACCAAGACACATCAGGCTAATAAAGGTTTCCACAAAGAAGAACCCAACATACCTGGTATTACTGGAGAAATCCCACAGGAAGACATCCAGTTCTCTACACACCCAAGTCTTGGATGGCTCCTTTTGGTATTTCTTCCGGTACAGTTCTATTACCAGGTCTTCTACAGCAAGCAGCTCTGGATGGCTCTCAATACCTACAACTCAGAGAAAATCCAGGTCAGGAGAACAAAAGAGTGAATATTCTGCTCAGCTCACTTCTCAGTCAGTCCCTGTTCATTGCCCAGCCTCTCACCAGAGCATCAAAGCTCTTGTAAAGCTTAACAAGTTATTCCATCAGCAGTTTTAATAAAACCTGGTGTCCTAGCAAAGTGGGTTGCCCTATAGTCCCTTAATTTTCTCCACCTCAGTAATCATGTATCCTACTTGTAGGCCATCTCTCTTCAGAAGCTGTTAGTCTTCCCATGTGTTAGCATATGCTCACCTTCACAGTAATCTCACTGCCTCTAGTGCTCCTTTAACTGGCTGAGCAAGAAACAGTGTATGTTACTCTACGGATGTGCTCATTAGTTGGTTAGCTGATCATGCTGCTGTTTTACTGTCACTGACGGGGAAGAAGAGGGAGAAGCACGCAAAGTAGTTCTAGCTATCAGTACCAACTTTTATGAAACCTTTGAGACCCAAATATTTTGAGACAAATACAGCCATCCATGATTACATAACCCTTCTTTCTTGCCAAGGGCAGGGGGGGGGCACAGAGGGGGGAATGCCTTCTCACCTGTTACGCTAGCCATTCGATTGAGACACCAGTTAACTCTGAATCTGTCATTAGACTAGAGGAAAGAAAATTTCAGTCACATTGAAGAAGTACAGTATATAATTCTGACATCTGCAAGACTTCTGACTATGTCTGAAAAAGTCACCTCCAAAACAAAATTCAATGTTTTGTGGGACTGAATGTACACTCTTCCTGAAAATGATCTTGAAGAGGAACCAAATGCCACGGAGGCTTTCCAACCAAACCCCAAGAGAAATTTTGGACTCATGTTTGGGGACAGTTTAAAGGTTAACCCATACTACAGATACCTCCATTAAGTGCTCTGAGATTTTTTTCATGCATACTTCTTCAGAGCCCTGTATTTATGGATGGAGCCCAAGATCTTGACCCTCCCCAACCTTTTTAAGGATTAACTTAAGCTTGAATGGAATCAAAATGTAATATAGCTGTCATGAAGCTTAAATGCCTCTGAATCCTAACATTTTGTTTTGCTCATTGGCTAATGAAACTTCAGCAAAAATTAAGATGTACAGTATTCTCATGGGGAAAGATTCATAAAAACGTAAAAACATCCCTTAGAAAAGCAGGACTGTATGACTATTATTCAGCACAATCAATTTAAGTCGATCTTAAAAAGCCCTCAACCTAAGTCAAAACAATGTTAAAGACAAAGTGAAATGTTCCTCAGTAGACTAGAGACAGAAGCGCACACTGAAAATAAGAAGGCAGAAAATTAGGTCTCTGCTTTATAAAAAGGTTAGCTTTTAGGGGCCATTTCTTCCTGCATGGAACTGGGAAACTTTGGAAAAGAGTGTCTTTTCCCACTCATTTGCACACTGATTAGGTTTTAGAGCGAAGTAACTCCTTAGTCATCCAACAGAAGTGAAATTAGAGGTTTTGATTTAGAGCATCTTACTTTGACCTTGACCATACCCTGCAGTAAAAGTGAGGCCGAACACCGCTGGCTGGCTGGGCAAACTCAAGAAGTTCTTGTAAGACAACTGCGTAACAAGTACGTGAAAGATGAAATCCAGATACAGGGATCTTATGAGTGGCATCACCTAATGGGGGGATGAGGGGGCAGGAAAAAAACCCCAAGTTATGAGAAGTCCTGTTTCCTTAAATGATAAGTTCCCCCCTCCTTTGTATCTTTTTATATACATATACACACAAACACACACATTTCCTCTTCTCTACAGGCAGTGTCTGTAATTAAGCTATCAAAACCTTGCCTTCCAGCAGAAGACTGGTGGGTCTGGGCTCTGAGCAACCACACACACGCTTACCCCTTTAAAAGGCCATTATTTAAGTATTTGACACAGGAAAACATGGGCCAAGCTTGTTCCCTCTGCACACAAGGGGAGGAAGTGTCCTAATAAAAACAAACTGGAATCTATAAACACTGCTTAAGAGTCATAAGGGAAACAAGGCAGGCCAAGCCAGACACAACAAGGGTATAAATACTTTAACTTTGTTGATATATGTAAAGCTGCGAAACACAACTTTTAAATACAAACTAGTATCCACATTACGAATTAGCACCTCATGCTGAAGATATACACAAGGACTATCAAGGGAAGGACACTCCGCTTAGATGGGCTTGAAAGCATTTAAAGCCATACAAAGCTGTCCCATTTAAGAATAACATACTGCAGTTATTATTGAATTAAAAAAGGAAGACAGAATACAAATAACTCTGCCATTGACAAAACCACTTTGGGTGAAGTGCTCTGCCATTTGTGGGTATGAGAAACATATAAAAGGTGACTGCGACAAGCTGCTCTGTCACTCCTTTCTCTTTCAAGGTTGACAAGTTCCCAGAAGGAGAAATTGTAGACTTATAAAACATTTGGATACAGATCAGATAAGCTGAGTCTAAAACTGTACACCTTTGCATACCATTCTTTCTCTCCACTGATACTCACTAGCAGCCTGGCAGTGGTACCGAAAACCACGAGGTGGTACTTCTGCAGAAGAGCAGGGGAGATGAGAGAAAAAGGAACAATCATCATTCAACATCCACAGTGACAGATCCTTAACTCTCAACTATACAACACAGTTTCACGTACAGAAAGGAACAGCTTCATCTTCTCTATGACTTTGCACAAGTGCTACCACTATATTTGAAAAAGTTATTTTCAGTTATATGCATTTTAAAAAAATAAGTATATTTTATAGTGTGTGTGATTAGGTCCAATCAAGACAAACATTGACTGGCAAGAAATATAACACAAACATCTGAAGGTGCTCCTGGATTTATTCTACCTTCTTTGAAGCTTCATGCAGTTCTGACACTTAAGTCCATCTCTTCAGAAACAATCAGCACTGCTCCGATATTTTAAGAAGTCCAACCACTTATAGTCAAAGAAATAAGCCTGTCTTAGTACCAGAAATCTAATGTGGGCAGCAGTACGTGACACTAGAAAGCCTCGCTCTCACCCCAAAGCAAGATGAACTACTTCTTGCCTCCCTTCCTTGGAACTCACCTGGATCTATGAAGTGATGGAAATCAGCCATTATGCCATCCTGTAGGGAGTACCTGACACACCCAATCTCGCAAGGAAGAAAGCGCTGTTCACAGTGGGACGGCAGCTTGCCATGGCTGTAAATGTTCAGGAAGTAGAAGATGTCTGCAACAGCAGCTGAAAGAAAAAAAAAAAAACCACCAAACCAACCACATTTTCAGAAGAGCCACCAGAGGTTACAGCAAGCCATCCTGGCCTCACTTCATCCAGTGAAGCTTCAGTGTGCTTTATCATATGAGCGAGTAAAGTAGGGTAACGTAAAGTAAAGTAAAGAGTAAAGTAAAACACATAGACCTTTCTCTGTATCTGAGATGACAGGGTATACCTATGCAAGAGTCAGGCATATCAGTAGTCCTGGTACACCTGCCATAGATGCTACTGTGTGCAGAGATCAGGGAAAAAAAAAAAAAAAACCCAAAATAAAAGCAATTTAAAAAAAAAAAAAAAAAAGACCAACAAAAAACAAACCCCAAACCCACAAGAATGTTAAGAGGCCTGGAATCCAACAGGAACTACTATTCCTTTTTATGATAGGTCTCTTCACCCTTTAGGAAAATAAGGTTAGAAAAAAAATCAGTAACTGCGAAGCAGCCTCACAAGCTCAATTCAGTAACTTACACAAGTTAAATGAGCTGGTAATATTCTTCTGGGGTAAGAGGAGATGAGACGTCTGCTAATTAAAAGGATTGCTTCTCCTCCACTAAATGAGCTCCCAAAGAAGGCAGCAAGAGTACCCAAGGCAAATGTTAAGAAATAAATTTATTGTTTACTAATTTTAAAAGTATCCAACTATGAAAAAAATTTCACAATACACCTTAATGCTTCTCTTAATGAATGTCACATAATGTTCTCACTGAATTTAAGGTACCTTTTTAATCCTTACCCTTAAGTTTTGCCCCTCATTAAAAAACCCTACTTGTTCTACTAAATAATAGAGACGTGTAACTGTTCTTACACAGAAATTATGCTGTATGCCAGACTTTATGGCATTTAACACCACTTGTCCTAAGCTTGAATGATGGTGCTCTCTTATGGGTCTTAAACTCTACAAGCTGCAGGGTCATAGGAAAGATACCTCGCCTATCTGAGATTGAACTGCTTTCCTTATGAGAAGATGGATATAGCTACAGGGAACCATACAGGACTTTTACTGAGAAATATTAAGGAGCAGCATCGTAAAATGCATCTCAGTTATCCCTTATCATTATCCTTCTCGTTCAGTTTAAAGATGAATTGTATTAGCTCAAGCCACCGTGATCAACCTGATCAAATTTGCATCACAATGACAGGGGAGCATGACCTCTGGCAGGGAGGACGCTAACAGGTATTACACTTTTTATAGAGCTACTCTTTCCTGCCCCTCCATAACCATGACAACATGAAAATAGTTCAAGAGACTTATTAGGTAAAAGGCTTGAGCTGAAACTTAACCACAGAGCAGACACAGCTTATATTAACTGGCCGCTTGACTTATCTTGCAAGTACTACCATTTGTCATTTTTCAGAATAATGTAATATTCATGGGGAAAAAGATTACAGATGTGTCCATTACTCAATTCTAATCAAAACATCCATTTGAAGAGGGGGTACGGATAAGAAATGTTTAGTTTTCAAGAGTTCTTTCAATAGGGAACTAAGCCAGGATGTTATAAAAGCACTGACAAAGTACATGTCCTCTCTTTTATCCTCCCAAAGAGACCAGGTCATCATTTTATTTAACAGCTCTACTATACAAATTTTGAACTTTGCTATCTAACAGCTCTTCACCCTTTAAAATTGGTACAAATATTCTTTTATGCTGAACTTGGATTAGGCCTTGTAAATCATAAACGTAGGAGTTGAAGAATTACCTTTTTCTTAAAAAAAACTTGAAATAACTGTGAAGAAACTATTAGTGGCTACACTCCCATCAAGCTAAATTGCACTGTCTTTCCCCTATACTACAAAAGACCTTTTTACAGCATTAGACCATTAGTTTAAAACAAAGAAACAGTTGACACAGATGGCTATTAGCGAAATATAAACAGCTTTTGTATAGCTACCATTGAGAATATCTATAAAGGGCAAGCTTTTATCTACCGGGATCAACGGCTTTAAGATTACTATACCCTGATCATTCTTCCAAGACATAGCAGAGGCATCTGGAAGAGAAGTAACACTGGGCATCTTTGTGGACAGAGAAGCAGGAACCGGATGAGCCAGATTACATGTCTGGAAAAGATGAGAAAGTTAAAAAAAATATCAAAAGAGTCTACTAAGCCCCAGTGAGGTCCTTCACCTTCTTCTATTAGAGGAATACATGATGTCCACTAACAGTTATGGTTAGGTGGAACAAGTCTGCAGTTTATACACAAGTGCCTGTGTACTTGCAGACCTGGAAGGCAAGATTTCTGTTCTAACAGAAAAAAAAAAGAGAACTCACTACAACTGGAAAGAACTACAGCTAAATTTACAAAATGTAATTTAAAAAAAAACTTTTAAAAAATATGATTTTGTTAGGTGCAACCACTTGTCACAGGCGAGGAGCTTTTCAAACTGGAATTTCAAAACTTCTTCCATAAACTTTATGAAAAAATTTGGCACATGCATTAGTTGCCTTTGACTAGGAATGGAATTCATGGGAAGTTGATAAAGCCTCAAGGAAGCCATCAGGTTGCTCTGGCATAGAGCAAGTAAGAGGGGCATGCATGCCCATTAAGCACTGCAAATCCAGGCATGAACAATAAGCTTTTAAGAGGACAGGAAGAAAAACCTGACAGGCTTACAGAATTCAATCATTCAAGACCCAAACTGGGAGTAACTTCCACATGCAGGTACACATTCCAGATAACCATCTTAGCCAAAGGTTGTTGATTATCAGTTTGAACTACTTAAAATAAAATGAGGAATTGGTCCCATCCAAGTAAGCTTAGGTCATCTCCAAAAGATGATGTTGTGGTTTAGCCCCAGCCAGCAACTAA